CCCCAAAACCCCAAAACCCCAAAACCCCAAAACCCCTATTTTGCAATCAAAATTGGAACAAATATTATATAAAATGGAAAAAGGTAATCAAAGCACCAAAATAAAGAATGAGGAAATTACTCACAATTCTGAAAAGGAGAAACCTCTTTCTGATAGCAAAGAAGAGGAAAAAAAGAGCATAAAAAATAATGAATTACTTCCTCAAAATAAAAGTCACCAAGGTGAAGAAAAGAAAGGGAATATTGATAATAAAAAGAATAAAGAATCTCTTAAGCAAATAGATCATTCAGACCAGATGCTTCACCAGAATATGCTTGATAGAAATAATACACAAGAGAAAGATAAAGCATCTTTAGGGAAAAACGAGGATGATGATCCTGTCGCAAGAACAGTTACAGTAGTTGAACAAGAGAATGCAATTAAGTCCCAAATTTTAAAGAAGAAGGAGGCAGTCCCTTCATCTTCAGGTTCAAATAGAGAATCAGAAGAGAAAATAAAATTAAAGGACAGAGCTCCGAGTCGACAAGATGTTTCTGAACAGTCTAAAAGACTCACTCCTAATAGTTCTCTAAAAGAATCTACTAAAGAAGAAGGAATTCATGATTTTATATTTCAGCCAAATTCTCCTGAAGACCAAAGCTCAAATCTCAAAAATAGCGTCAAATTTAAGGAAGATCAGGAAGAATATGGAGAAGATGAGGGAAGTATTCTTCCTGCTGGACAACAAAACAGTGCAAACAACTCTGTGAAAAATAACCAAGGAGACTCTAAAGAAAATTTAAAGAAAAATTCAAACTCAAAAATAACTCCAATTCTGAAAAATAGTAATAAGGAAAAATAATTCTGATATTCAAAAGGAGATTTCGGTCAGGATGTCTATGAATAAAAATGAAGATCCTGATAAAGATAAACTTTGAGAGAAAGAGCCAAGCAACTCAGATGCATCAGCAAATAAAAAGATTGATAAAAATGAGAAAAGAAGCATCATTCCTAATATGGTTGTTGAAGAAGATCAGATTAATTTGTCTGACCTTGGAAATGGCCCAGAAAAGCCAACCATAAAAACAATTGTCAAAAAGATGGTCTCTAAGAAATAAACTTGCTTTAGAAACTCCTGAAGGGAAAAAGTTAAAGGTGTATCTAAAATCTCCAGATTCAATAAATAGCAAATCTACAACTAAAAAGACACCATTATCTTCTAAAAATATGAAATCACCGAAAAGCCCTAATGATCCTCAAACTCAGTCTCCTTCAGATGATATATCTTGCAATGGTGAGAACTCTTCTGGACAGGAATACAAGCCGCTTAGTGACTTGATTGTTTACCAAGATTTAGCAAAACACAAAAATTTTACATTAAAGAAATATGAAGACGCGATCTATCGAGGGATGGTTGACCCCAAAACTCAGCTCCGGCAAGGTATTGGCATTATGGAGTACAGCACAGGAAGGGTCTACGAAGGAGCTTGGAGGAATGACTTACGTGAAGGCCCAGGCTACGAGAAATATGCCAACAATAACATATACAAAGGTCATTTCCATAAAGGCAAAGCTCATGGCCAAGGCTATTACAAGTGGGCTAATGGAGAATACTACGACGGCGAATGGAATCAAGGCCAGAAGCATGGTTATGGAGAATGGAAGTCTCATGATGGCGATAGCTACCAAGGAGAGTGGAAAGAGGGTAAAGCTGACGGCCAAGGAGTCTATGCTTGGAAAAATGGAGATAAGTACGATGGAGATTGGCTCACCTGACTGAAACATGGCAAAGGAACAGATTACTTCGCAAATGGAGACTCTTACACAGGCCAGTACAAGTATGGAAAGCCATGGGGAACTGGAGTTTATATTTGGAAGAATGGTAGTACTTATAAAGGGCAGTTTAAAAATGGACTCAAACATGGGAGAGGTAAATGGACGAAAGGGGAAGGAGAGGATATGTGCATTTTTGAAGGAAATTATATCAAAGGCAAGAAAGAAGGATATGGAGAGTTTAAATGGGCAAGCGGGAATTTTTACAGAGGTGAATACAAAGAGGATGAAAGACATGGATATGGAGAAATGTATTGGGTTGATGATAGTTTTTATAAAGGAGCATGGGAAGGAGGCATTCAGCATGGTCAAGGATTAATGCAACTAGCTGATGGCACTATTAAATAAAGGAATGTTTGAAAATAATGTTTTTGCTGAAGAAATAATAGAAGCAGAAGAATCTGATGACTCTTTATGAACTGAAGATCATTCTGGACATCCCAATAGGAATAAATCAAAAATTTTAAAGAAAAAGAAAGGTAAGAAGAGAAAGAAAGTTAAGAAGCTTCTTCTTCCAAACATTGATACTAGGAATACTTTTGCTGATCAATCTGGTCGTCAATATACTTCAGCAAAGAAACCATTAATGAGAAATCTATCTGAGATTGATTTACAGTATGAAATAATTTCTTAATTATATAGAACAAAAAGATTTAGAAAGACATCAAACCAGAAAGAGAAGAATTCATTATCTTTACCTAGAATAAATTCTGGTCAAAATGATAGCGCTTTGTCTTCACGATTAAAAGGATTCACTACTATTGCAAAACATCAGGCTAAAGAGAGAAGAAAGCTAGAGACGTACTTTAAATCCTTAGACAAAGCTGTACAAATTTTGCGAGATAAAAGGCAAAATGAGTTAGCAAGTAAGCCATGGATACCTGCTGGTCCCGTCCACCAGTACCAGTATAGGCCTTCTTCGAAGTATGGATAGCTTTCCTGTTTAAACTAATTTAAATATAAAACTAAAATTATTTTTCTGATAAAGCTGGGGTTTTGGGGTTTTGGGGTTTTGGGG